GGGGGTCTCCTCACTGGGGCCGGACCCCGCGAGGGCGGTGGGGAAGGGGAACTGGCCTTCCCCCAGGGCGTGGGCGCTGGCCACCAGCTCACCAATCTTCTCCACCAAGCTGTGCCGGTTGGCGGCCAATTGTTGGTCCTCCTCTTCCTCAGTGGAGAGGTGCTGACCGGCCCCGGGGTAGACGGAGATCTCCATGGCACCGCCGCCCCAGGCGGTGTTGGGAAGGCTCAGCCGCTTGGGCGAAGCTTTGGCAAAATCCAGGGGGTTTGGCGAGGCGTCGTCAGCATAGAAGACGCACTCTTCACTGCCCACCCGCGTGGGGCCAGCGTAGCCGGGGGAGTCGGGCACCGTGGGGGTCTTGACGGGGACAATGGGAGGTCGGATGGGGATGGGGCCGGCATTGGAGAGAGTACGGCGGACCGAGGGTTTGGTGGAGGGCGTGCGGCGGATGGTGGCTACCCCCGGGGTGGTGCCGGCTGGTAGGTTGGTGCCGGTGGGCAGCCCAGCAGTGGAAGCGGGACGCTTGGTCTGGATCATCCGCCGGTAGTTCTGGGCGATGTTGCTGTTGCGTGGGATGGTGGAGGACTTGTCGAAGTCACTCTGGGGGTCACACTCCACATCGCCATTCACCGAGTAGCAGTCGTAGTCGGAGCCTGGTGAGGGGGCAGGATGATCAGCGTGGCCAGGCGGGTGGCACGGCTGGCACTGTCAAGCCCAACCACCACCTTCACAATGCAATCACAGCCAGCTCCAACCACTGCCATCACAGCGTGACCACAAGCAAACTCAACCACCACCATTGCAGTGCTATCCCAGCTGGCCCCAACCATTGCTGGCACAACATGGTCACCATCAAGCCCAACCATCACCATCAGGAGGCAACCACAGTCAAGCCCAGCCATCACACTGAGGTCACTGCCAAACCCAACTGTTACCATGGCAACGTGGTCACAACCATCCCCTGCCATTGCCAGTGCAACATGGTGACAACCACAGCCACAACCATCACAACTGGCCTCAACCATCACCACCGTGTAGTCGTAGTCAAATCCAACCATCACTATCACAACCACCCCAACCACTGCCATCACAACGTGATCACAGCCAACCTCCACTGTCACCATCACAGGCTCACAACTGGCTCAGCCATCACTAGGCCAACACAACCACAGTGCAACACGACCGTCCCTGTGGTTACTCAATCTCCAACCACCACCTCTGCTGCCATCACCCACCATCTTCCCCCTGTCTCTGCCTGTACTCAACTGCTGCGCGCAAACATGTCACTGCAAACCATCACCAACCACACCCTGCCGTGATGTTACAAGACCCAACTAACACCCAAATAACCAGGAAGCCCCGTGGTTATCGCGCAGCACGACACTTGTGCCGCACACCAAACCGCCCCAACACACATTATAACTTCACCCCACCGGCCCCTACGCGATGTGGCTGCAGCCCGATGCTATGACACCCAGTGCATGCCGACGTACCCCAGGACCACCAAAGCCTCTGCCCCATCCCCTTCCCATCTCTGGGTGCCATTTCGGGTGGCCCCAGGTGCCCCTCATTGCTGTGGGGTGGGTACCTTGGGAAGGGATGGTGTCCTCAGAGCAGGAGGGGGTGGTGGTCTGTGTGCTGTAGCCGCTGGAGTACTGCAGTGAGTCCCGGCTGCTCTTCTGGTGCTCCAGGCTCAGCCCCCGGGTCAAGACCATGGCCAGGTCGCTCGCGGCAGGGGACACCTCCTCCCCGTGCTGCAGGGGCAGGGGGGAACCATCAGCACCCTGGCTCCTCATCTCGGAGCCCCTCAAAAGCCCACCACCCCTGTGGTCACACCGTTGGAGCCGGTACCTTGGCAGCAATCGTAGCCGGTGACATCCGGGGCCTGGGGGCGTCCTGCCCACCG